ATGTTTTTGTCTCAGAGAAAGGAACACCCTTTAGAAAAAGGGAACTTATCACAAGACAAATGGAGAAGTGTTCAGGTGGAGAGACCACCTCTAATGGTGAGTAGTCCTCAGGATGTTGAAAATGAAGTGTAGGAAAAGAAGCAAAAGAGGAAAGAACCTTATAGAAACAATACAAAACCAGGCAAATATTATCATTAAATTTATCATTTTTTTCACAGGCTTCTAAGCTGCTGCCCTAAGACAAGAATAGAAACAGAAAGGAGGAAATGGCACAATGAGGGCAATTCCTGGTAAACTGTAGAGCATGACAAATCAGGAAGTTCAGGAGATCATAAAAAGGGGAGTGGGTTGAGTTTCTAGGGTTCTTTTCTTAACCAAAATCTGTAAGTCTATTAGCAGAAGTATTGAAAAGATTGAAAACCTTTCATTGAAACAGTCGTGGCTTAAGGGCAGTAGGGCGTACACTTCAAGCGGGGGGAAAATGAATACCTTTGAATACTAATAAAATCCACAGATCAGTTGCCTTTTCTGCAGTGTTTCTTCCCTCCATGCTTTCTTCATTGCTGTGTTCATTTTGTGTTCTATCTTTTTATTTTGAGATACAACAGTTATCAAAGGATTACAAGCAACAGGGTTGAGGTCATCTATTAACAGTTTTGAAGCGTTTTCATATAGAGAACTGTATAAGGGTTACATCATGGTTATATTCTAGCATATTCTGGTTTATTCTCTTCTATGTACACACTGTTTTTCTTCACTGCCATAGAACTAACAAGATTTCCAACAGTATTTTATGGTCAGTGACTTCTGTGTGTCAATTCACATACTATTTATTTTTCTTCTCCTTTAGAATGGAGGAGAAATATGCACAATATAAATTTTTCATATCAATTCATCAATTCATATATGAATACTTGTTCAGTTGGCAGAGTGCTGTTTTGTGCCAATATGTGTGTTTTTGGAAGATGCATATTTTGTAAGATGTCTCTATCAGAGGAGACAATGTGAAGAGGATAGTGGGATCATATGTTTGGACATAAGTTATTTAGGTTCCATCTGAAATTCAGAATCCATCCATGTGCTATAAAAATGGATCTTGTTGCAAAGAAAACTAATCAATATAGTGTTAGAGCTGAATTCAGTGTGATCATATTAATTTGATGTGCTGACTATTTGCAAAGAACGGATATAATAGGCAACTGAACATTTTAAAGACCAAGACTGAGGTCATTAAAGTGATTCAGTATTCTAGACAAAGTTGGTGTGAAAAATAGGACAGATTTAATATAGTCTTTCTTTTTGAGCTTAAGTGAGTGTAGAAGGTCCTTGTTAATACATAGAGGCTTCCTAGCATTCTTGCCTGCCTTCATTTTTCTCAAGATGTGCTGCTTCTGGCCTTGGTGGAGATGGTCCTTGAATACTGACCAGCTTTCTTGGGCCTCTCTTCCCTCCATGGCTTTCTCCCATATCACCCTGCCAAGCAGCTCCCTGAAGAGTTCAAAGTCTGCTCTCCTGAAGTCTAGAATAGCAAGCTTGCTGCACACCCTCTTTGATACCATAAGAATTTTGAACTCCATCATTTAGCAGTAACTACAGCCAAGACTACCCTTGAGCTTCACATTACTCACCAGCCTGTCCTTGTCAGTAAGAACAAGGTCCAGCATAGCACCTTTTTCATGGGTTCCTCTACTACTTGGAAGAGGAGGTTATCATCAACACATTCCAGGAGCCTCTTCGATATCAGGTGCACTGCTGTATTCTCTCCAGCAGGTATTGGGATGGCTGAAGTCTCCCATGAGGATCATGTTTTGTTCCTATCTGTTTATAGAGAGCTTCATCCACTTGGTCTTCCTGATCAGGTGGCCTGTAGCAAACCCCCACTATGACATCTCCTTACCCTGCATTGCCTTTAACTCTAACCTATAAATTCTCTGTCAGTTCATAGTTTATCCCCAGGTGGAGCTCCATGGACTCTAAGTAGTCATTGGTGTAGAGGGCAACATTCCCTCCCCTTCTCTCCTGTCTGTCTTTCCTAAGGAGTTTATACCTATCTATATTGAGTTGTGAGAGCCATCCCGCCACATCTCAGTGATTCCAATCATAGCCCTATACACACATATGCCTGCAAATTCTCCTGCTTGTTCCCCATGCTCTGTGCATTGACGTACAGGCTCTTGAGTTAGGCTCCCATGGAGGCTGATTCACCAATTACCATTCCCTTTCCCTCTACCATAGGAGCTGTCTTACTGGCCTGTGATCCTACTTCAGGCCCAGGACATCCATTTCCACCATCAGCCTCAAAGTGTAATGATTTGAGGATCCCCACCCCCAGCACATGTTCACGGTATTTCCAGTTGCTGATATTCCACTGAATTCTTGCTAGTTGGAATCTCCCAGAGCTGGAGTAGTCCTGGTTAAGTATGTCATTTCAATGACAGTCAGCTGGAAGGTAGATACCATGTGAATAACAGATTATTGCTCATAGTTCAGAAAGGAACAACTTTTCTTAGGCAATTGGTGATGACTGGAAACACTGTTCAGGTTCTTCTATAATAGGAGTATAGGGCCAGTAAGAATTCAGAAGTACTCTCCAGAGATGAGTTCACTTTGTCAATTGTACAACCAGCTAAAGGAACTCCAGGTAGGTAACTAGCTCCATTAATTGCTTTTACCTGCCCATCTTTCCTATAGATGGCTAATACAGGATACAGAAGAATGGAATGACCAATGGCAAGGATCTATGATTACAGTGAATCATCTAATTATCAGAGGCTTGATTTTACAACTTAGGTTTGGAGAGCATATACAAAGATGCATTTGTCCCCAAGAGTAATTCTGAGCAAAGCCATTTTTATCACATAAGACAAAATATATGCTAAAAAATAGATATATAAAAAGGTCTTTTCAAGGACATCAGGCTTCAGTAAAACAAAACTCTACTGTTCTTGACACAGATGTTTTCTAGAGCCCAGACTTCAACTGAATCATAACAGCTGTATTCTTAATGGGATCTTATTGTGTGACTCTTGGCACGTTCCAACTTCAGCTGGGTAAATGGAGAGAGAACACTGAAACACTATGAGAAACTCCTCATTGGTATTATTGTGTTATTTTAAATTTTAAAAACATTAAGCTGTGAATTGTGACTGGTGCAGCTGGTGGATATGGAAAGACAATGGAAGCTTCCTGGCTTATTGGTTGTCATTATGTTATGTTTCAATCGCCTTTCTTTCCTTGCATGTGTTAAAAGCCTATAGAGAGTCAAGCAATGTAAAATCTAAAATTAAATTGCCACAGCTACAATGGGAAGGTAGAGCATGTATTCACTTCTAAAGATAGATGACTAAACTTAGGATCCATATCTCCTTAGATTGTCTATAGAATCAATGGATTGGCAAGAGTACATGCAGGTACGAATTCAAAACAGTTTGCTTATGCTTCTTCTAAACAACCTTGTGTTGGTGCATGCAAAAAAAAAACAGATTGTCAGCAGTATAAACTACCAGGTGAGTACATCTCCAGAGATGCTTCTGTCTGTCCAAGGTATGGTAGATGGGACTGAAAAAAAAAGGAGAGCAGAGTGGATCATCTTCACTTGTTCCACTCTGCCAAGAAGTTTGGGAGAATGTATCTTAGGATGACCTGTGCAGGCACACACAGCTCTGTTCACATTGCCTGGGAATGGACCCCGTGCTATTTCATTTACTAGCATTTGTGTAGCCACTCGCTGTGAGTATTTGATATGCCATGAAATACCCAACAGATTGGATCTGAGACCATGACAGGTGGTCCTCAGCTAAACTACGGAAGCATCTGCCTTTGTTTTTTCATCTTCTTCTGTCAGAACAAGTGATAAATACATCCCTAGGAAACATGGCATAGATGTGTTCTCTTTATCAAATGGTCAGGAACCATTAGTGCATACACCATAGGAGCTCTTTTAAACAACTCTGCTCCAGGCTTCATCTCAATTCCAGGAAGATTTTGCTGGGTTTCTGGGCAACGTCATGTAAATACATTTGTTCACTTGACATTTGATAGTGGGTTTCGATACTTGCTACTTCGTGCTTTTAATTCCTTTGCCTGGGTAACCTCCAAATATTTTAATGCGTGCTGATAACTTGTAAGTGTGCTTGTCCAACATAAAGCAAAATCATTTGTGCCTGGAGTGGGGAGACCATTCGTAGCTATGGCCTTGCACTGTTTTGAAACTACTGCTCTCACGTCAGGATCTGAGTGCTAGAAAAGCACTTTGTGCAATTAAGATTTTCCTTCTCTCAAAAGAAGTGGGAGCAGATTTAAGTCTGGAATTCCACTCTAATGTGTTTTTACTTAATTTCCATGAACTTTGGAAACATTTTCAGTCTGAATACACTGACAAGTAACTCTTCATTTGCTCCTCTTGCTTCTTCACTGGGGGAATAGTTATCATGCATCTTTCCTTCTGTTATGTTTATTACAGGAATGATCAGCAGCGGCAGCTAGAGCACTGATATGACATATTATAAACATAATAGAAAGTCAATATTGCTTTTCTTCAATAATTTTTACTTTGAAGAGTAGAAAAAAAGAGATAATACTTTGTGCAAGAAGTAGGACAAAAATTCTGAATCTGCATCACTATCAGTGTTGTTACCTCAAGCTTGTCAAGGAAAGCTATTTATTTTGAATAATTCCTCCAACTGTTCTGTGTGGTCAGGTTTGTAAGGAAAAAAAATAAAGGACTGATTTGGGGTCAATGGATGTCCTAGAATATTGGCAAATTCTGGAATTTGATTGTGGAAACTCTGGATTCAACAGATTCTGAAAAGTTTGCATGCAGTCTTTGTACCCTACTTCATTTCTAAGTACATCTTAAATAGAGTTTGATTCTAGGTGAGGGCCTACTTTGCCATACAAAGAAGCTTTCTCAGTCTTACAGATGGGCACCTGAAAATACTATAGCAGAGGAAATGCAATGTGATGTAAAGAAATGAAAAAAGAACCATGAACATCTCATGTGTTAGCACAAATGATTTGGTTTATTTTTAAACCACCCCAAAATCCAATCATGCTGTATGTACACTGACAATACACAGGATTATGCACCAAAACTAGACAAGAAAAATTCTGGTTTGGTCTGCTGGCGTTTCTGTTTTTTGTTTTTTTCTTCTTTCTATCTTGTAAATCTGCTCAACTAGATGAAATGATCCAAACTATATGGATTCCTACGTCAACCCTCTTTCATTTTCACTCTCCATGCTGTCTGTCCACCAGGAGTCATCTGTCACTCATATAACCTCTGGGGTGCTTGTCTGAAGGGTTAACTGTGTCATTTTTATGTAGGTTTTCTCTGGGCCTCATTCTTTATGTAAAATGGTTTAGTGCAGAACAAGTATATCAGCACCTACCTGCTTCAGCTATAGTCTATAGTTAGTATGTGAGACCATCTACTGTTATGGGTTATTCAGGAAATCAAAGGTAGCACACACACTAAAACAAAAACAGAAAATCATCTTCCATTTTGTTTAGAATGTTAGTTTTCTTCATGTTTCCAGTGTCGTTTATTTTGCTAAGCTCTTATGAAAGTCCTTCCACTTGTTTTCTGCTCTTATTTTCTTACAAAACAGCATACTAAGCTTTCTGTATAAAACACATATATAAACATTTATATATATATATATATTTTATTTTTTTTAAATGACCCTCAAAATGGACTTACACACGGGTATGTATTTGTCCCTCATTAGAAAATATACTGTGTGTATCTCTATTAATTGTCCCTGAATGTCATAGCACTTGCTATTAAAATGGGGTCAGGAAGAAAGGAGTCTTTATTTTTTTTCCTGGTTTCTTTTCAAATATACAGTTAATTTACATAAGAGAAGCAAAAGTAGAACAGTCACAGGAACAATCAGGTCCTGTTTACATATCAGCACCATGTTGTTCTCATTGCTGTTGTAACTACTGCTCTTCAATCTCATTTCTAGTTATCACTTCCCAGGAATTCATGCATCTACACATTTTTTGGTTATCCCTTCACAACTGGATGCAGGTTCAGAGAGGATGAAACATTGAAAAATGTAAACAGATCTTGGAAATCTGGAGCTTCTTGTTCTGCTCAACAGTATTTCTGGTCCTCTTTCTTGGAGATTATCAACAATTTAGAAAATTATGGTTCTTTCTAGATAACAATTTTTAGCAGCCTTTGCTTCCAAAAGATGCTTCTGGGAAATGATTAAAGAATTTTTTTCATGTGCACTGCTGACATTAAATACCAGCCTTGCATTTCTATATAGATACTTTTTCTGGTAAAAACCCCTATGAATGGTACAGATGAAGTTTTATTCTTTCAGCAAACTATGCATCACTACTGCATGATGTGCTGGGAGGGCCAGCCACAGTGAATACACCAGCAAATTTGAAAGTAGTGAGAGAAGGGTTAAATATCAACCCAATTTATTTAGATCATGCTAATGAATTCTTGGCCTGAAGACAATGTAATTGAACAACCTCAGATATAAAAAAGCTATTTAGATTGGGTGCAAAAAAAAAAAAAAAAGGAAAACCATATTGAATTACAAAACAAAGTTCTTCTTGCTGGTTTACAAAGAGTCTATAACACTGATAAAAACCGATGCGTTCCCCCACCCCAACTTGTCCTTCTTTATTTTGGCTTCATCTCAACTCTGGAGTTCATATCATCTCCTTCCAGATCATACTCTTCTACTTGGCCGCTGGTCCACACCTTCACACGATCAGTCAGGTCACTGCTTCTGGGAGCCAGGATGAAGTCATAGATGAGGGCAGCACCTGCTCCTCCAATGATTGGGCCAACCCAGAAGATCTGGAACACAGTTCCAAGCCTGGTTAATGCATCAGGTAATCTTGCATTTGAAGCTGTTCTGCAAGTTTCTGCTTAAGTTCCTCTATATGAACTTCAGAGTGAAACCACAAACTGGATAAGGGACCCAGGAATGGATATCTGTGACTATACTGTCAACTTCTGATATTTAAAATGATGTATCTACTGGTTGCTCAAGCTATATTTGGCAGGCGGAGGGGAACGATCTCTAAAAGCAACAAGGGTGTGAGATTCATTTCTCACAGCAACCTTCAGTGATAGGTGAATCTGAAAGTAGTATTTAGTGAGGACCTAATTAGGGGCTTAACTTGCTGTTAGCTACTATTTAGCTAGGGACATTCCACAGGAGGCAAACAACTTTTGTAGGAAGAATAAGTATTTTAGCCAACAAGGTGATTTTAATAGAACAAATAGATCATTTTGAGGGATGTACTTGGCCAAAGAGATACTGAGTCTGAAAACATGTTTTCTTTATCCAGTGATATCAGTGGTTTAATAGGCATTATTATCACTCCCTTTTTCACCCTCTCTACAAAAGCAACACATTTTTTTCCACACAGTTCTGAAAACACTAACTCCTTGCTTAGCTTCATTATCCTAATATCCCAATGGAATTGTTGAGGTGGGAGAAAACTGTACAATTTCCACAGCATCCCCATTTTGTATGTAATACTTTTTAGATTAAAATGGCATTCATATCCAAAATTTCATTGCCCCATTGTACTGTCAGTGAACTTCCAAGAAATCTTGTGCAAAAAGATGCCAGAACAAGTGGGAGAGTTAGAACAAATTACACTGAGTTTTAGTGAAATAAGTACATGTTCATGAAGTTCCTCATTAAATATTTATCAATAATTAAAAAATCTGTGGTGTTTCCAGTGCACTTATCCATGGAAGTGCACAAGCATATTTAAGTGTAAGTAGATGGGCATTTTATTAGCTTCCAAATATTGCATAATTCACTGCATTTCTCAAGTTGGTTTTACTGGAATAATCATAGCAATTTACAAACTTAGTTTAAACAACGTATTCTCAACATAGGATTCACTAATGAGGCTTTCACGTTTTAATCATTTATTTATTTACTTACTTAAATAAGCATAAGGGGAAATAACCAGAGAAAATTAGCTGTATTACTTTGAAAACACACGATCATCTTGAGGAATCTGCATCTCCCAAAGATAGTCAGCAAAGAGCAAAAGGAGATTGTTCAGTGAAATAGGAACAGAAACTCAGCAACAGTTAGTTATTTGGATTTACGTATTTCTGATCTTGTAAATTGTGTATAAGCAGAATCTCTTGAAAGTTAAGCAAATTTCTTCTACTTACCCAATGATTTTCAAAGTTGTTGGCAATCAGTGCTGAGCCAAAAGATCTGGCTGGGTTAATTCCACAACCAGTGTAATCAATCTAGGAGTCAAAAGGATAAGCAGCAGTGAGTTATCAAAGTACATGTGGCATCTTCATTACACACCATTACCATGAACAGCATAGAATTAAGGTCAGTCTCTGAAGAGGAGGCAGAAGGATGGAACTCCTGTCTTGCCAATCTATCTTTCTTCACCAGCCCATATCGAGGAAGAGTACTGCACACATCAAAGATGAGAGCTAAAACTTACTGCAAGGAGATGTCCCAAGGCAACAGAGAGACCAATGGCCAGAGGTGCTGATCCTGAGACATCATTCCTTCTCCTGTCTGTGGTGGCAAGGACGCACAAAACCAGCTGGAGAGTAGCAATGATTTCAATTCCTAGTCCTTGGCCTGCATTGATTCCTTTTGCAAGCTGCATGGAGACAAGAAGGAAAGAAAAAAATCTGATATTCCTATCTGCCTTCACACAGTACAACAGAGTTTCACGGGGATGCTGTATCTCAATGCAGACCTCTACATTCATTTCTCTAGTTGTGCTTCCTTTGCTTAACAGCAAAAATAAAAAGGAGAGAGTTGAAACACACGCTATTGCACTCGAGTGTAGATATAACCATATATAACCATCTTTTGTTAGTGATAAAACATGGTGGTTGCATTCAGTGCATCCAGCCAAAGCAAACACTCAACCAGTAGACACAATGAGAATGTAACTGGTGTACGTGTGAAAGACAAATCTGTTAATGATTTGTCTTCAATAGAATATATCTGTAAAAATGACCTCTCTTGCCCTAAGACATTTATTCATTGCTTGTGAGAATGAGGATGCAGTGGTCAAATTAAACATTGCTCAACTTGACATTAGCAACAATTGCCAAACAAACAGGAGCATGAGGAGGAAGGGGCAAATAGAGTAAGAAAGTAGCACAGCTCTGAGTAGCCTGAAGGTACCTATCTCTGTTATCAACAAGTCACGTTAATCTTTTCTTCTCCTACCACTATTTATTTTCTGTTGTTTAACATGAACTCTTCAAAACGAGGTAGATGTAGATATTCCTACTGTATTATTGATCATAGAATCAGTTGAGTTTCTTAATAATGTATGTGTTATGGAACATATAGAAACCACAGAAATTCACATACATGAACATTAGAAGATAACAGCCTTTTCATGTTTCTGTAGTACTATTATAAAGTTTTCTTCAACAAGTAACCATGGATCTAAATTAATAATGATGTATCAGGGCTTTAATTCTGTTTCTAATGATTGCGTTCACTGGTGTCTTCGTTAAGACAAATCTTTATGAGCTGAACGAATTGTTGTTAAACAGAGGTAACTGCACTGCATAGATGGGATAAAACATGAGCTTGGACACATGCCAGAAAAACTGAGAATGTAAATGACTGAGTGTAGGAAGCATGCTCTGCAAAACATACACTCAGTAATAGAGCTATCAGTAGGTTGTCCCATCTGTCACAGCCTTTGTGTTAAATGTTGCAAGGTCATACATAACAAAAACGTAATTGCTTGTTATGTTGACCTGTCAGAAAAAATAAAACTATGGGAAATCATGTATTAAACCTCTTCACATGGCTTTACATTGCAATTTTCCTAAAATTAATATTTGAAAAAACTTTAAAACTTCAGGAGGTTTTGTTAAACCTATTCGCTTTCCACATTTGCTATTCAGTTTTCTCACTTCTTCTCTGTAACATAGAATAATACAATGTTTGTAAAAATAAGAGGATATTGTCTATCTTAACAACAGTGAAAATGTATTAATTTCTAAGAAATGACATCTGAAACATAAATAACATAATTTTGTATCTTGTTCTTTAACATGCAGAACAGGTAAACCTTGAGTTAGAATTCGTTTATAAAATTAGTTTATGAAACTAATATTAATTTATTAGTATAGCTAAGGAAATCTTTGTTCAAATGATGGATATTTTGGCTCCTGCAGGAGTAGAAACTAAAACCATCTTCAACACAAACATGATCTATGTGTGAGAAATATAAATTATGTACAAGTGAGTTGGCAGTGAGAATGACACGATCTAGAAATGCACACTGAACACCTGATATAATACTAAATTAGTATTCTATTACTTTTACCCTTTCCTTTTTAAAATAATCACTCCAAAGAAAGAAAGAAAGAAAGAAAGAAAGAAGAAAGAAAGAAAGAAAGAAAGAAAGAAAGAAAGAAAGAAAGAAAGAGAAAAAGAAAAAACGAAAAAAAGAAAAAAGAAAAAAAGAAAAAAAGAAAAAAAAAAAGAAAAAAAAAGACAAAAAGAGCAAAATTCTGCCTTCAAAACCTGTGATAATTCTTATCTTTGAGGAGAGGAAATTATAGTCTTCCTTTCCCTCCAGGAAAACAAATCCTAAGGTTGACGTGACTTGAGGTCATTCTCCCTGCTAATCAACACTTATTGATGGGCTGTGTGGAACCAAATAAAACCTGGAAATATTGTAGGAAACCTTTTGCTTTCCTCTAGCGTGTCACATTACGCAGATTGCCAGGGACGTAAGATTCTCCACTGCAAGAGCAAGAACTCTGGGCCGTGTTCCAAATGCAGACAGAGGCAAGCCTTGGATGTCCTGGTTTGCTGTGTTTGTAAGTATACTATCACATATGTTGGTTATTTGCCTACTTGTCAGAGTTGTAGTGTCACTACAGCAGTAGGCTGACCCTCCTAGACTACAGCAACACATGGAACACCATGAGTCTTCATCAAAATGTCTCCCTGCACAACAGGAGTGGTAGGAAGGTTAATTTCCTAGCATTCCATATAGACAGCCATCAAATTAAAATGAGCACTGATGTACACATGCATGTATCTGTATTTATCTAGTCCTTGGTCACAGTGGAGTTCAATATACACGACGGTAAATATCAGCTCATCTTAACTGATCTTAACATCTACTATTCTGCAATTCTGAGTATATTTGTGATTTAAGATGCCCATATCTGCTTAAAAAGATGGAAAAATGATTATTAAATAGATACAATAATGCCTTGAAGTGTAAGATGTATTCACCTATATGGTAGTGCTGGAGAGTAAGCATCCTTTTCCAGTGACTTGTACCACACTGAAATGACTTTCTTTGCTACATTGGTATGCTGATTACCAGTGATTATGACAAAAAATGCAGGGATATGGGCTGCTTTTGATGCATCTCTGGGAAAATCTCTGGCCTTTTTTCACCTTACGCCAATATCTCCCACACACTCTGCATTTTAGATGGCACTTTGTGTTCAGATGAATTGTTTCACTGAACATCATTTCTAAATCACTGCACTGTTTTGACGTGAAAAGCATCAGAAATGTACCTAAGAAATGGGTTGCTTTATTGGCAAGATCTGAAGATTACAGTGGGACATAAAGATAGCTGACCAGCTGAATCACTGCCTCGACTGCAGTGCTTTCATCTGAACAATTTCACCTTGATTGTAAAAGCACCAATATCATATGCAGAAGCATAGATGCAGACAGCCCACATGAAGTACATCCTTCCGTCAGCTGAATCCTGCCACCGTTGTTACTTGAGTTCAGTGTGACTCAGAACAAGATAGTGGGGAATAAAAAATAAAATGGCTGGAGTTTTTTTAATTAATAAAATTCCTATCTCGATCAGAAAGCCCATGGCTCCCGAGAAGAAATTGGTTGGGTGCTCAGTACTCAGGCATGTTGAATACTGAGTTCTGCACCACTGGATATTTCCAGTCACTACCATGAAAAAAACTGCTTGAGGTGAGCAACTGCTTTTTGTTTTTAGGGAATGAGTAACAGTTGCTTCTGTCTCTCCACAACATCAAATTGTTGTGATTTATCTGCAACTGGAACTATGGAAGATTCACTTAGGTGCCCATAGCTGCCATGTTTAACTGACTGACTTCCTCAGCTTCCAGCAATAGTGTGGGCAAATGGTATGTTTTATTTCTTTTTTTTTATTTTTCCCTCCTCTCTCCTTTTTTTTGGAACAGGATATTTATTAGATATCTGCCTTCAAAAGAGAAACAAGGACAGGAAATTAAACTGGCCCAAGGTAAACCCAACTTTGTACTTCTCCAGTGGCTTCATATTTTTCTCATCAGGAATCAAAGTATATCAGGCTCAAAGCTGTTTCCCGTTATATGGATAAGAGAGCTGTTATGCAAGGTGGTTTCATGATGTGATGCCATGCCTGCCTCATGTCATCCAACAAACTCAGCAAAAGGCAGCATCTTCTAGGGTTAACCTTGCTTTCATATAACAGGGATTAGTTTCTCATTATTCCTGAAAAAGATTAGGCCTCTGGAAATGTAGAAATCAACTTTTCAGTACGGGAATGTCAATTTTCTCCTCAGTTATGAAACACTTCACAGCAAGCAAAGCTGGCTGATGCTTTTTCAAGACAGAAAAGTGAAACCACGGCATCTTCTCAACACATCTGCATTAACTTTTATTAAAGTATTTTTAATATTCATGCTGGGAACAAGAACTGCTGCAACAAATAATATCTTTATGTCAGAGAGTCTTCCTTCTCTGTGGACTGAATTCAAATAAGATGCCATTTGCACCAGGCCTGATGTTTTCAGTCTTCCAGGTTAGCTTTTCTCTTCCATGGTAGACTTTTCTTAAGGGAAAATTTCTGTCATTTCTTCTCAACTCAACAGGAGTCTCCCTCCATGGCTATAATACTGGCAGACTATTTAAAAAATGAATCTCTTTATGTTTTCTTCTTACAGCTTAAGCCTTCCCATCTTAGTCTTTCCTTGTTTTCCTTGACGAGGAAATCTTTTCATACTGGTTTAAATGGTTTATGCTCTCCTTTACATCCTTACACCAGAAATATCCAACATGCTTCTTCACACCAAACTAACATTTAAGTCTTTTGCTGGGCAGAGTTAGTTGATACGCTGCTCTTTGAATGCAATCTCAGAAATTAATCTTCCTACTTCCCTCAAAGCTGCCCGTCGTTTTGTCTGTTCTTCTAATTCTTTCAGCTCCACGTTTACCATGCTCGTAACTTGATAACTCCTGTCATAGTAACCTCCCCTTCTCCGGCTGGAATTGCTATAAACCTCCCTTTAACTCACAGTCCAAACGTATCCTTCGCTATTTAGCCACAGTTATTCTCTTCTCTCCTTGCAATTTAATAACATTACTCTGAAACTGATGATTCTGTACTCATTATTTACTCATTAGGGATCCCGAAAGTAGAAAGGTCACATTCCTTCAGTAAGTAGAGTGAAAGAGAGAGATCTAAAGAGTTTCATTTAAAATTATATAGCAAGAGCACTCAGATGGAGCTGCTTATGAGGCAAAGGATTAGCTTTGGATTGAATCCTAGGTCAACAATAGAAGCATTCAGCAGAACCTACGGACAAAACATGTTGTCCTTTGTTAGGTTATCCTTCCTACAAATACAGC